ACAGAGTGAGTTCCAGGAAAGGCGCAAAGCTACACAGAGAAACCCTGTCTTGAAAAACAAAAAAACCCAAAAACCAAACAAACAAAAATCTTAATTAAAAAAAAAAAGAGTTAGAAACACTAAATTGACAGAAAGGGGTTAAACTTAGCTTACCAGATCTCACTAGCAAAGACTGTCCAAATCACTTCCTATATCCTTAACACCACTTTCTATTGGCACAGCAAGAAACATTATGGAGATCCCTTTTTAGGGATTTCTGTTATCTTTCTACCTCACTCTTCTGTTTCCTCAGAGATGGACCACACACAGTTCCCTCACAGCCTGCTAGACCACTCCTTTTATTTATCTGTTTCTTTTGAAATAGGATGAAGCTCAAATTGCCGTCATCCTTCCTGAACCTCCCAAGTTCTGACCGAGGTTACAGGTGTGTGCCACCACACCTAGCTTCCAGTCACCTGTCAAAGGGCATGTTCCTCAAGATTTTGCTTGCTTTATTGAAGTTTTGCTTCATTTATTGATTGTCTTATGGATCCTAGACTGACTTCAAATTCAATATGTAGCTGAGGGTGACCTTTAACTTCTAATCCCCCTGCTTCCAGTTCCCAAATGCTGGGATTGCAGTCATGGATCGGCACACCCAGGGTATGCTGTGCTAGGAATCAAACCCAGGGCTTCGTGCACCGGCTGAGCTACGTCCCCAGCTCCTTTACTTCCAAGCATTAGAGACTGGATGCATGCCTTATGTGTGGGATTTCACAATATTAAGTAAGTTCTCTATAATACCTTGTATCACCTGTACCCCATACCACAGAATATCAGGAAATGGTTTTTAAAAGCCCAGTTCATTTGTGAGACTATCACAAGCTCATTTTCATATACAAATCTCTCTCATCTATAAACTTCCACACCGTATTTACATTAAAGTCATATCATCTGTTTTTCTCCAGCCAAAGGTATTTCTTTTTTTGCTTATTATAAATAGCTTGGCCTATCATTACTTATCCTAATTCGTCTTTAAAACAAGTTTCTTGTTACATTTATTTATTGTGTGTGTGTGTGTGTGAGAAGATGGCAACTTGAGCTCCCTGAATTGCATGCTGAGCCCCTACCCAGTGGGTTAGCAGGCCATCAGGGAACTGTGTGCAGTGTGTCTCTGAAGAAATGTAAGAGTGAGGTGGAGGAAAGTTGTGGGATTTGGTTTTCTCCTTTTTACCCTGTGGGTGTCAGGGACTCGGGTCATTAGGCGCAGTGGCAAGGGTCTTTCCCGCCAAGCCATCAAGCCAGTCACAATGCAGTTTTTAAACTAGTGTCTCCCTGGACTCTTTTAAGCAGCCTACAGGTTTTGTGTACTGTACAAATCCCCTAAGCTGAGCTTACACGAATATTATTATTAATATTGGAGTTGGGAGCTTCAGAAGGAAGAACGGTCTCAAGTGGTAGCAGACAGCGACCACTGACAACAGACACAAAGGACAAGCAGCAAGAACCAGACAGTGTGAATCTGGACTGGACATGCTTCTAGATTCCCCGAGACAATCCAGGCAGCTCCCTAACAGAGGAAGGAAAACAGGGAGCAGCTGCTGGTGACAGCAATGAACCTGGCGTCACCACTCCTCTGCCTCTGGTCCTTCCTCAAAAGCTATCCTTTTCCTTATGGCAACTCTCGACACCAAAGCATCTGGCTCCAGCCAGTTCTCTAGCCTTTGCTTGTACCACTCTGCCCTTGACTTTCACAACCCCGCATCCTAGCCAGGCCCTCTCTTCCTGGCTCTGACACACTGTTACTTCGGTTTGTCATCCCTTCCGCGTTGCTGCAGCTTAAAGATCACTTCCCAAGAGAAAGCTTCCCCAGCGGCGTCCACACCCACGATCTCTTAGTACATCTCCCAGGGTGCACTGTCCTTGTCTGGCTTTGGACCTATCACAATTACATCTTTATTTGTATGAACACTATCTCCTGTGGTGGCAGGCATTTGGTGTATCTGGTTCTTTGCTGAACTCAGCACCCAGCCTAGCTGCCTGTCACCCGGAGGAACAGGTGTTGAATATGGTTATTGAATGAGTGACAGAAACACTTAGCCAGAGGATTGAGGTGGTTTTGTTTGTTTGAACCAGCTCTCCACTCCCTCAACTGTTAAATTGGGATTATAGTAATTACAAACTTCAGAATTGCTGTGGATTAAGAGTCAAGGTATGCAGTGTGCTTGGTATGTGCATGACATATAGTAAGCATTAGGAGACATTAGCTATTATCATCATTAAAAAGAAACTCTCTGAGTATCCGAAACTCTTAAACATTGTCAGGAATAATGTGAACATAGTACTCTTGCTTATAATTATAAACACAGATCATACCACTTAGTGACCTTTTTTTTTTTCTGCGACAGAGTTTCTCTGTGTAGGTTTGGAGCTATCCTGGAACTCGCTTTGTAGACCAGGCTGGCCTCAAACTCACAGAGATCCACCTGGCTCTCTCTGCCTCTGGAGTGCTGGGATTAAAGGCATGTGGCACCACCGCCCAGCCCACTTAGCAATCTTACGTCTGGGTATACACCTCAGTGAACGGAAAACTTACACAAAAATGTAGACAGGAATGTTTATAGCAGCTTTATTCACAACTCCTCAGACTGAAAACAACTCAAATGTTTTCCAGTCAGTGAGGAGATAAACAAATCAACGGAGTACTGCACAGCAAGAAACGAACTGATGATACGAGTAATGACATGGATGAATCACAAATCCATGATGCTAGGTGAGAGAAGAAAGACTCAAAAGGTGACATGCAGTATGATTCCATTTATGTGGAATTTATATGACATTCTGGAAAAGTCAGAACTCTAAGACTAAAACTCAGGCCAGTGGTTTCCAGATAATAGAGTGGATGTGAAGAAAAATAGGGGGATTATGGCAATGTCCTAACTGGATTGTGGTGTGCTTACATGACTATATGCATTTATCAAAACTCATGGCATTGGAAACTGGAGAGGGCTGATTTTACTGTATGCAAATGAGAAATAATTTACAATAGAAAAATAAAACAATAGATAAAACTATTTTCCTTTAGGAATGGTACACGTGGTTTCCTTTCTCGTTCCACTCCCTTGTATCTCCTTTCATCTCTCTTTTTGTTTTATCTTATTTTTTTAAAAATTTCTTAATTTTATGTGTATGGGTGTTTTGCCTGCATGTACATCTGTATACCATGTGCATGCCTGGTGTCCAAGGAAGCCATAAAAGGGTGCTGGATCCCTTGGAACTGGAGTTACAGACCACTGTGAGCTGCCATGTGGGTACTGGGACTTGAATTCAGCTCCTCTGGGAGAGCAGCCAATGTTCCTAACTGCTGAGCCATCTCTTTAACCCCTTTATTTTATTTTTATTTTTTTGAAGATAGGGTTTCACTGTGTAGCCCTGGCTGTCCTGGAACTCAATCTGTAGACCAGGCTGGCCTCAAACTCACAGAGATCCTCCTGTCTCTGCCTCCCAAGTGCTGGGATTAAAAGCATGTTCTGATACCCCCAACCAACTCAGACCTAGCCCCTTTATTATTTAATTATGTATATGTGTGTATGTCTGCCTTGTGTTTGTGGGAGCTCTTGGAGGCCAGAAGAGGATGTTTTATGCTTTGGAGCTGGAGTTATATGTGGTTGTGAGCTGCTCAATTAAGGTACTGGGAACTGAACTTGGATCCTGGATCCTCTAGAAGAACAGAAAACACTTTTAACTGCTGATTTTTGAGACAGTTTCACCACATAGTTCATCTGGCCTCAAACTCTCCATCTTTCTACCTCAGTTTCCAGAGTACTGGTATCTGCAGGCATGTGCTACCACTTCCAGCTGGCACCTATATTTTCTAATAATAAAAGCTGGCACCTACAATTTCTGATAATACTGTATGTTCATTGCAGACATATGGGAAAAAAGCAGAAAAAATATTCCCTTGTCATTGACTTTTGGTTGAGACGGGGTCTCACGTAGTCCAGGCTGGCCTCAAACTCACTATGTGGCTGAAGCCAGCCTTAACCTCCTGTCCTCCAGCTGCAGTCTTCCAAGTGCTGAGATTATAGGCTAGTGCCATTACAACCAGCCAATATTGCTTTCAGAAATATATATTCTACTTTCTGAAATACATTGTGTGTACATTCCCATGTCATTAAATAATAATAAAAACCATAATTTTATGAGTCAATAATATATATGTATGTGCCAAATGTGTGGAGGACAACTTGTGAGAGTCAGGGCTCTCTTTCCACCATGTGGGTTCTGGGATGAATTCAGGCATGGGGCTTGGGCGCAAGTGTTCTGGCTGAGCCGTCTTGCTGATCCCCCACTCTCCTCCTGCAATTTATACTTTTATGCATTTCTTTGGTGCTAAAAATTATATTGCTCACACAATTTCTTTCTTTGCAAACTAAATAAAGTTTCATCCCCAACACTGCAATGTTTTTTAAATGAAATAGAGCAAATTATATATAATATTATATATAATATTACTGAAGCAACTTCAAAAAATAATATAAGTTCAGCAGGGCCAGAGCTCCCTCTGTCCAGGGTTTCACAATGTTGAACTGGTAAGGCAACCTTCCCTTGGCTGCAACTCCCTCATTGTTCCAGGTCATACTGGAAAAGTGGTTCCACAGGGTGATCTGGCTCCTCTCTTTGTGATGTACGAGGCTAGACATCCTAACATTTCCTGTACTACCAGCTGAAATTTGCATAATACTTCCAATATTTAATGCTCACCCCATCTAATGTAGCGTAAGCAGGGCAGATCAGAGTACTTTGTTCAAGATCATAGGCTTATCAAGAGTGTAAACACGGATGGATGTACAGCCCGGATATTATTAGGTCTCAAAAAGCACTTCCCAACGTTGGGTCGCTTCGTTCCCTCAACCCCCAGCCTAGCAAGGAGGCTTCAGACAACTCTGCCCAGTGGATCCTTATCTAAGGAACAGGCGCTTTCCCAACCTTCAAATGTCCTTGGCAACACTGCCACTTACCAGCTGGGGTCATTTCACTCCCGATGGCAGAGCGGGGGACACATAGCCCTTACCAAGGGGGCCCAACGAGCGGTGGCACGTTAGCTTCGCAGCCCCCGGGACTTGCTGCCCATCCGTCGCGACACTGTCGGGGGCTGCCGCTTTCTGGGGCGCTCCCGCCACACATAGGCGCCGGTGGGGGGACGCGCCATGGGTGAGGTGGAGAGGGCCTCCGTCGATTTAAGGATTGGCTACGGGCGGGCGACCAGGGAACCTGTGGTTAAGGGTTGTCTGATGATAATCCTGGGATTTGACAGCCATGCCTCCAGAGGTCAGTCCTCCGCTATCCCAGAGTCCCCCGGTTCCCGGAAGTGCCCGGCTCTCCGGAAGTGCCGGGCTAGCTGTTAGAATAGCGGCTTTCTCGAGCGCTGAACCTGGTGGGTTGCAGTTCTGGGGTCCTGGTGACAGCGCAGGAGCAGGGTTGGAGCGGGGCGTCGGGGCTGAGCGGCAGGATGATGGAGGAGGAGGAACTGGAGTTCGTAGAGGAGCTGGAGGCCGTGCTGCAGCTCACGCCTGAGGTGCAGCTAGCTATCGAGCAGGTGAGCGCTCCACCCCCTCAGGAGGGAGCTCCGGAGGAGGGGGCAGCTCTGGGTCCGGGCGGAACCCACCTTCTCCTGGTGCGCAGAGGGGTCTGGATTTTGGTGGAGGTGGGAATGGGTTTCTCAGCTCATGGACCGAGCTCTAGGCTCGGTTGTCCTCTCTAGGCTCAGGTTGTCACGCCCTGCTGGGTTTGGGCCGAGATGCTGTGCTTTTTGGACGGGATGAACCTAGGAGAACCCCTGTGACTGGATAATTCAAATTATGGGAGATTGTGAGACCTCATTCATTTTCCAAACTAGTGCTACTTCTCCCGTTTCTCACGTTAAGCCCTTGGAATTGGCAGCGGGAGACTTTCATTCCGGAAGCAAGTGGTGTCATTGGGGGCGGGGGGAGTGTCATACTGGGAAAATGGCTCTTATGCTGGCGAGGGAGGCGGAGAAGGAGAAAGGAGAATTTGGCACAAGCTGGAGTTACCTGGGAAGAGGAAGCCTCCGTTGAGGAATTGCTTCCATCGGATTGGCCCATGGGCAAGTCAGTAGGGCATTTTCTTGGTTGATGATGTAGAACGGCCCCGCCCACTGTGCGAGCGAGGTACCACCCTGGGCAGCTGGGCCTGGGTTGTATAGAAAAGCAAGCTGAGCAAGCCATGGAAAGCAAGCCAGTAAACAGTGTTCCTTATGGTTTCTGCTCCAGTCCCTGCTTTGGCTTCACCTGATGATGCACTTGTAAGCCAAATCAACTCTTTTCTTCCCAAGTTACTTTTTGTCATGGCGTGTTATCACAGCGATGGAAAGCAAACTAAGACAGACCTTTACCATAGTTAAAAGGTTGTGGGCCAGTGAGCCGGTTCAGTGAGTAAAGGCACTTTGCCACCAAGCCTGGTGGCCCGAGAACCCTCAAAGTAGAGGGAGCGAACTACTCCTGACCTGTACACATACACGTGTGTCGTCGTCCCCCGCCTCCCCAACACACACATAGGTCCCACACACATAAATACAGTAAAAATGTTAAAAGGTTGAGAATTCCTGCTATTTGGGTTATGTTGGTGAATATTCCTAGGAGTCCTCGCTTCCCGAAAAGAAGTTCTCTTGACTAAATCCCCTTGTCCAGTATATTAAAATTTATGGTAAAGGTATTAGAAGTAATTGTTTAAGCCCCATATAGGTTTTGTTCTTAATAAAGGGAAAAAGATCTTCCTTTAAGGAATTAACATGGGGCTATGATGTAAGAAAAAGCACATTAGGAGCTAGGGATATGGCTCAGTGCTAAAGCACTTGTCTCATGTGCCTGAGGATCTAGGTTCAATCCCCAGTACCAGTGCAAAAGAAAGAAAAGGAAGAGTATGCCTCACTTAATGACTATGGGGAAGTGTGCCCAATAACATTAATTCTACTACTACTAATTAGTATATGTGGACAATTAATACTTTTTGTTTGCATTTTTGAGACAGAGCTTCTCCGTGTAGCCCTGGCTGTCCTGGAACTCGCTTGGTAGACCCAGCTTGACCATTAATAATTAGCCTTGGGTCTGCCACTGTACTAAATACAGTGCTTATGTTTTCCCACTTATAGATTTTCTGTGTGTTTTTGGGGGATGTTAGCTTTGCTCCTATAAACCACATTTGTTGCATCCCAAGGCTGATATCCCATTGGGTAAAACTTGAAGTGCTGGGGCCATGCTCCTTCAGCATCTGTTTCCTTCAGCCAGAAAATGTGGACTCTGATAGAAGAAACAATACAGTCAGTTACTGTTTGAATTGGAAATATCAGAATGTCACATTGTTGTTATTATCACATGTTATAATACATTTTCTTTATTTTTATTTTTTTTTCAAGACAAGTTTTCTGTGTAGCCCTAGATGTCCTGGAACTCATTCTATAGATCAGGCTGGCCTCAAACTCAGAACTCAGAGATCTGCCTGCCTCTGCCTCCTGAGTGTTGGGCTTAAAGGCATGTGCCACCACTGCCCTGCTACAGTTTCTATTCTCGAGTTTTCAAGGTTTAGTCAGCAGACACTTGATGTTAAGATGAATATAGATTTTTTTCTTTAATAGTTCCAGATCCTAAAAATCCTGCAAGTACTTGTACAATAGCATTATTGTAAAGAGTATCAAGTTAAGGGTTGATATAACAGAATCACATTTTACCCGGAGGTGAGTTCCAGAGGCAGTGCATAAAGTGAGTACCACTACAGCCATGTTCCTCTTGAAATTCTTTAAAGTGCCTATGAAATTCAGTGTCTAAAGGTCTTCTGATAACTCTAGTGTTTTCTCTGCCAACGCTGGGGCCAGGCATTCTCTTTATAAGTGTCACCGGATGAGTATCGTAAGTCAAGGGCTGTGTTGTGTGAAATCTCTTAATGCCTGGGATGAAATCTCTTAAATGCCCAGGAGCAGGAAGAGAGGAATGAAGGAATTGGGAGCAGTCAGAGGAAGTGGATAATTCACTAGCTTCCTCATACCCGATCACAATGGCAGGCCCTGTTCCCAGCACTCCCTCTGCTGAGGGCATTTAATTAATTGTATAATCACATGTATGTGTGGTGTATTCCCACCATAGGTGGACAGTACAAAAGTGAAAATGCTAAGCTTTTAAATAAAACACTAAGCTTCATCTCTCACTGACTTTGCCTCCACCTGCCGTTTATATCATGGAAGCCATAAACTCTAATAACCTCCTTCTGTCTTTCTTAGAAGACTTTTTGATTCATTCATTTTTATTCTTAAATCAAAAAATTTCTTATTTACTATTTTGTGTTTATGTGTGAGTCTGAGTGAGTTTATGTATGCCACATACATTTGGGAGCCCTTGAAGGCCAGAAGACTCCCTGGAATAGGAGTTAGAGGCAGTTTCGAGGAGCTACTGTATGAGTTTTAGAACTGAACCCAAGTCCTCTACAAGAGCAGCAAGTGCTCTTAACTCTGGGCCATCTCTCTGATTCCTTTTTTGCTTTGTTTTTTGAGACAGCGTTTCTCCATGCACCCCTTGCTGTTATGATTTTTTTATTATGCAGGGGGACCCCCGAGGGTATCCCACACATGCAGGGAAACACGCTGAGAAGATGTAGCTGTGGGCTGGGCAGATGCATACCATACAGGACATGGTGGTGGCCAGTGATACACAACCCAGATGATGCATCCACGTGGAGAGTTTATTATAATAAGAGATAAAGAGGCAGAGAGATAGAAAGAGGGAGGGAGGGAGGGAGGGAGGGAGAGAGAGAGAGAGAGAGAGAGAGAGAGAGAGAGAGAGAGAGAGAGAAATAGGCAGAGTTTTTCCTTAAAAAGAGACTTTTACGTTAGGATACAGGGTGGTCCTGAGGGGTGGGATCAGAATATTAACACTGGCTGCACTGGAACTCACTGTGTAGACCAGGCCGGCCTCGAACTCACAGGCGTATGCAACCGCTGCCACCACCAACTGGCCATGATTCTGTAACCTTAAATTTCATAGGAAGGCTGCTCCTCTGAAGATTACTTTACAGAGTTATATATGTCTTGAGTACCCAGGGGATCACTGATTTTTCTGGTTTTTTGTTTTGTTTTGTTTTTGTTGTTGTTGTTTTAATTATTACATCTGTGTGTGTGTGTACATGTATACATGTGCACCACAGAGTTAGAGGCTAACTTGCAAGACTCAAGTCAGTTCTCTTCTGCAACATGTGGGACCTAGGGACTGAAGTCAGGCCTTTAAGCTTGATGGAAGTGATTTTACCTGCTGAGTCTAATCCTGTCAGTCTCTGCCCCCACACGCCTGTGTAGTCTTGTGTAGGCCTTCACTCACTGTGCAGCCGAAGTTGACCTTGAGTTCCTGATCCTCCATAGTCACTCTGGTACATGTATGCACACACACCATCTCCCAGGCGGACACCATGTCCCAGCCTTTTATAACCCATCCTCTTACCTATTTTTTTTTTTTTTTTTTTTTTTTTGAGACAGGGTTTCTCTGTGTAGTTTTGGTGCCTGTCCTGGATCTTGCTCTGTAGACCAAGCTGGCCTCGAACTCACTGCAATCCGCCTGGCTCTGCCTCCCGAGTGCTGGGATTAAAGGCGTGCTCCACCACAGCCCGGCTAGAAGTCTAAAATCTTAAATCAAAAATATTAGCAGGAGCCAGGCATTCTGGCATACCTCTGTAATCCAAGTACTTGGGAGGCTAAGGCAGGAGGACCAGTTCAAGGCCAGCCTGGGCCATATAATGAGTTGCAGGGGAGCCTGAGCTACATAGTAAGATTATCTCTCAAAAAGCCAAAACAACAAACAACTTGAGAAAGTGGCGTCTGCAGGCCCACACTTGCTCTGAAGACTCCTGTGTTGGCGCACCTTGCTTCTGCTGGCTGCCGGCGCTGCTTGGTGCTCCTTGGCCTCTGTCTTCTTGTGGCTCTCTGCTCTTGTCTCCTCCATTCCTGTGTCCACATTTTCTTGAGGATCCATTATATGTGAAGCATTATAGAGTGAAAAAGTGGTAGCGCATGCCTTTAATCCCAGCACTTCGGAGGCAGAGCCAGGCAGATCTCTGTGAGTTCAAGGCCAGCCTGGTCTACAGTGCAAGATCCGGGACAGGCACCAAAGCTACACAGAGAAACCCTGTCTTGAAAAACCAAAAAAAAAAAAAAAAAAGAGAGAGAATGAAAAAGTAGGAATTTTTCTGTTTTTGTTTTGTCTTCAAGAATCTATTGTCTAATAGATTGAATTTTGAATCCCCTATTATAATGTTATTCCCTTGTTTTAGTATTATTCTGTGTGTATATGTGATGTGATGTGTGGGTGCACATGTCACAGCATGTCCGTGGAGGTCAGAGGACAACTTTGTGAAGTGGATTCTGGGGATCCAACTCAGGTTGCTAGGCTTGCATGACGAGTACCTTGGCCCCTGAGTCATCCTGCTGGTCCTGTTCCTTCTAATTGGAACCAAAACCAAGAAAGCCAAAACAGACCTGTGTATATCCGTGGTGTCCAAAGCGATGCTTTAATCAATTACCCCTGTTTTTATGTAGGTATTTCCAAGCCAAGATCCTCTCGATCAAGCTGACTTCAATGCCGTTGAGTATATCAACACTCTGTTCCCAACAGAGCAAGTAAGTATACAGCTTTAGGTTTCCTTCTTCTCAGTGGCTTCCAGCTTACCCTGTGTGTTGTGATTGCTGTGACAAACAAATGACATTAAATCAAATCAAATCCCACTGTAACGAACTGGGTCAGCTGGCCAATGGAGCCAGCATGGAGTTCTTTGTTCGCAGAGCACATTATTAGAAATTTTGTCCCTTTAGTTTGTGAGAGTCTCCCTCCCACCTCACTGAACTTTGTGTATGAGTTGAGGTCTTACAACATAGGAGGGGGAAGTGGGAGCCAGGCAGGCGGGAGTAAACCCCAGCTTACACGCAGCATTTGGAGTGTAAGGTTGTAGACATTTTGTTTATGTTCTCTTGTTGTGTGGTTTGCCTAGATGGGGTTTTCTTACAGTAATTCAGAGTTAGAAGCCGGAAAATTGAGGGAAGGCCGGGTAGACTTTGGCCCACCCTCCCACCTTCCCTCCCTCTGTCCCCCTTCTCTCTCTCTCTCTTTCTACACAGGGCTGATATGGCCCAGCATGATCTTCACTGTATAGCCAGCATAACCCTCTTGCCTCTGCCTCATTGGCACTGGGGTGACAGATGTGTGCCACCATGCCCGACTTCGGGGTTTTCATTTGTTCACTAAGCAGATGTTTACTGGGTACCTGTCATGTGCTGTCAGTCACTGTCCTGGGCATACACGGGAATGCAGCCTTGCCACTGAGTGTGTGTGGTCCAAGCAGAAGGGACACTGCTGAATGCAGGGAGGAGACAGAAGGAAGAGTTCAGTGGAAAGACGAGAGGTTTCTTAGGAAATAAAACCTAGGGGCTTTCGGCCAGTTCCCAGTCAGCCAGTCCAACTCCCCGGTCACCTATGGGACTGTGTTAGAGACTAGAGAGAAATGATCAGTGTAGCAGGTTAGTTCCTGGTCTCCTGGAGTGCAGTGTGAGAAAGAAGATAGGAAAGAAATCAACAAGAAGTGATCCAGAATGGCTGACGATCTGCTGGGAGCATGTGTAGCCATCGAACATGGTGGCATGGACAGGGCTCTTATGAAAGAACCTAAAGGGAGGTTCTCTCTTAGGCAGTTTCTGTTACACCAAGACCTACTAGACACAGGAACCAGGCCTATGACATCTTGTGAAACATTGTTCTAGACAGAGATAGACAGGAAGACAGGAAAAAGGTCACTCTAAAAGTGGGAGGCTGGAGGACAAGTGATGAGTATACGGCAGAGCATCAGAGAAATGCTCAGAGCCTTGAAGAGGCTGGGTGGAGAGATCACAGCCTGAGATGGACCCCCCGATTTGTGCTTGAAGGGATGAAAGTAGAGGCCTATGCAGATAAAATCCATCCATTCATTTCCTCAATAGAAAAGGGCCTACTCTGCCTGATTTGGTGAGGCTGGAGGAGAGAAGTTGATTCGAAGATGAAGAGTCAGCCACCAGAGATAGTCTTTATGATCTCAGAACTTACGGTCTGCCTTGATAATTCTTCATAGCACTTACATTTATATACTGTTAAGATTTAGCATTGATCTGGTATTGATTGCACTAGGCATTCTAAACATTTAGCAGCGATGGATTGTCCACTGTGTTGATGGCCTTGGTGGTGAGGAGAATGAGCCAAGCAATAAGTAAACATGCAGAATGCTCAACTGAAATGCAGTATTGGATGTGGTGCAAGCAGGGTTCTGAATCCAGAGGCTTCCCTGAGGAATGAGACATACATTAAGGATGTTAAACTTTGGTTGTAGCCTGCTCCACTTGGCAGGTGTTGGCACCTTTTCTCCGTGTTGCAAGGGGAAGAGCAGGTGTCCGTGGTAAACAGGGTCAGAGGAGGGTGTGAGCAGTGTAGGCCATGGGCAGCCCACTTGCGGCCATCGGGTGGATATTCAGAAGTGTGGTGCGTCCTCCCCATCACTGTTGGTATCCTAACAAACATACCTTCACACTGAACTTACCAATATTGTCCCATCTTTTCCTGACTTTAACAACAAATTCTCTCTCTCTTTTTTTGGTTTGACAGTCTAGTTTTAAAAAATACATTAATTTTTAAAATAAAATTTGAAAAATGTTACACTGTGTGATTGTCTTTTTGGAGGTTTTGTAAGTAGCCTTCATTGCTCAACATTTCTGTGAAGGGGAGTTGGGGTTTGCTAGTGATAGAGGCCTGGTAACAACCAGCTTAAGGTAGCCTCTTTCTGCTTATCAAAAATGCTGACTTGCTGGGAGGTGGTGGTGCACACCTTTAATCCCAGCATGCATGAGGCAAAGACAGGAAGATCTCTGTGATTTGAGGCCAGTCTTCTCTACATAGCAAGTTTCAGGACAGCCAGACCCTGTCTCAAAACAACAACAACAACAGAAAGAATGCCAAGTCAACTAAACAAACAAACAATCAGTGTTAGAAAACTACATAGGAAGCTGCCAGGTCTTCACCTCTTTCTGAAATGAGTGTACACACACACACAGAGACAGACCCGCACACATGCACGTGCGCACACATGCTTTTAAAGTGAAGCATTTGTTTTCTCCAGATTCAGTTCTGTGTCTTATCTGATCCTGCTTCCATATGCATGATAGTATGCAGTTACGTTTCTTACAGCAAGTCAGAAAGTGCAGAACCCAGGGTCAGGGCGCACTCTCTTTTCCTGGTCCTAGAGTTATACTTAGCCGGCCATCTACCAGCCCAGATTCCCATGGATCTTCATGGAAAAGCAGTAGGAAGTATTGGCCTAACTTATCAATTCTTTTGTTTGTTTAGTTTTTTTTTTTTTTTTTTTTTTCCGAGACAGGGTTTCTCTATGTAGCTTTTGGAACCTGTCCTGGATCTCGCTCTGTAGACCAGGCTGGCCTCAAACTCACAAGAGATTCACCTGCCTCTGCCTCCCAGTGCTGGGGTTAAAGGTGTGCGCCACCACTGCCCAGCCTTATCAATTCTTTTAACTCTTGGGCAAAACCCATCTGTATATACCATGAGCCTACAAAATATAATTTCAAATTTAGATTGTTTCGAAGATGTTTATATATGAAGGTTTAGTGGCATTGTAAGTGAGGCGATGGGGCTGTATTTCTCTTGAGTGGCTTGCATGTCTGTGGATTCTGCAACTGGAGTGGGGGCCACAAATCCTCAGGTGTGTCCCCTTCATCAAGTCTAGGGGAATCTCAGCTTTCTGTACTTAATAGAGGTCCCTACATGTGCCAGCTGTGCTAACCATGATCTGGAAAACACTTTTAGCTTCCTTGTAGTGAATTAGAGGATCATTTGTAACATTACTGGAGGTTTGAGAGGAGATGCTATAGAATTTATGAAAACCAGTATAATCCTAGCACTTGATTGCTTGAGTCTGGGAGTTAATGACCAGCTTGGGCAACCTAGCAAGACTCCTAGCTTAAGAGAAACAAAACAAAACAAAAAAAAAACAAAAAACAAAAAACTGGAAATATAGCTCAGTGGTAGGGCATTTGTCTAGTATTTGTGAGGTTAGAAGTTAAAGATCTTTTTTATAAATTTTATTTATTTGTATATTTTATGTGTGAGAGCTCTATCTGCATTATGCCTTTATGCCGGAAGAGAGCATCAGACCCCATTATAGATGGTTGTGAGCTGCTATATGGGTGCTGAGAATTGAACTCAGAACCTCTGGAAGAGCAGTGAATGCTCCTAATCACTGAGTCATCTCTCCAGCCTCAAGGTTCAAGTTCTAATGCTGGAAAAAAGAAAAGGGGGAAAAGAAAAGAATATGCATAATCAAGAAATTTGGGGGCAGAAAAAAGAACTTAGTGGGGCATGGTATCATTTGTGATCCCAGCACTTAGAGGAAAGGGATCAGGAGTTCAAGGCCTAGTGTGGATACTTAGAGAGTGTAAGACCATCGTGGCCTACTTGCAACACTCAAAATAACCTAAATAAGGCACTGGAGAGATGCTCAGCTGTTAAGAGCACTGCTCTTGTAGAGGACCCAGGTTCAATTCCCAGCACCCACACAGCCATCTGAGATGCCAATTCCACACATTCCAGTGTCCTCTTACAGCCTTTTCAGGTACCACATACCTGGTACACATACATATGTGCAGACACACATAAAATAAATAAACTAAATAAATCACTAAACAAACTTTTTTGACTTTTTAACTGTGGTACACACCTGTAACCCTGCTACAGGAGGGTCATGAATTTAAGGCCAGCCTTGTCTCATGGCAAAACCATGTCTAAAAAGTAATTACAAAAAAAGAATTTCTACTGACCTTAAGGTGCTCTGAGTATTATCAAGAAGAGAGAAAAAATGAAAAAAAGATCAAACAAAGCCCAGGTGACAAATTACTTTAGTCTATTTCTTAAAAAAGCATCTTTTTATAGAGAGAAGAGTAGGATGTAATACTCACAGCAGTTACACCTTCCTGAAGAATTATTAAAATGAAGGAAATGCTTTTTAATAGTCGAAACATTTAGCAGTCCAGCCCCATTACAGTCAAACCAGATTAGTAGTTGTCAAAGAGAAGATGTACTGCTTCCGGTGACGTGTCCAGACACTGGATTCCACAGGCCTTTCCTCCAGCTCCAGGGAAGACTCCCACATCATAGGCTGCACTGAACTGTGGGGTGTGTCCGCTCCACCAGACACAGGTGGAGAGGAAGGTCAGCCATTGAAGAGAGGTAGCAGGACTTGGGAGTGTAGCTCAGTGATAGAACGTGGTTGTAGATAGATCAAACAGATCTCTACAACCTTAGACAAAGATGTGTCCTGTCAGAATCTAGTTCCTAAATTTTAACTTGGAGGAAGATGGTAGTATATGACTCAGAGGGTTAAGGAAAAGAATTTCTGTGAACTGACCACCCTAAATGTTAGTACTCTCCCTCATGCTTGTCCAAAGGAAAGCTGTCAATCTATCAGCAAATGAAGGGTAGGATATTTTTGAGTGAGTGAGTGAGAGAGAGAGAGAGAGAGAGAGAGAGAGAGAGAGAGAGAGAGAGAGAGAGAGAGAGAATGAATTAGGGATTGAATCTAGGGCTTCATGCATGCTAGGCAAGTGCTCTACCACTGAGCTATGTCCTGAGTCCTCTTTCTGTTCTTTTGATAACCTTATGTTTGGACTGCCAGGTTTTTGTAGTCTCCTAACCTGCCTGTCCATTGTCTCTAGGGGTGGCGGAAGGACCATCAGATAAATATGCCCTTATGACCTAATCTTTTTTTTCTATCAATGGGCCTTGTCTACGCGTCTTTGCTATTTTATTTATACTTGTGTGCATGTGTGTGTGCAGATTTATTTGTGCCATGGTGTGTGCGTTCATGGAGGTAGGGGACAGCTTTTGGAGTTAGTTCTCTCCATTCACTGTAGGGTCTGGGAATCAAACTCACCAGTCTTATACAGCAAGTTCTTTTACCTGCTGAGCCCTCTCACTGGCCCTCTCTGATTTATAAATGCAGTTGTACATCTGCATAATTATTGTGGGTGATTCTTAGAGAACAGTGCTGAGGTCTAACCAAGACCTTCCTGTCTCAGGATTATCAAATTCAAGAGGTGGTGCTTGAATGCTGTGGTGCGGTCAGTGGGGACTGGTGTGGAGTGGCCTCCCAGGCATACAGCTGAGTGAGAAGGCACGAGCAGTCGACCCTTGGGTGTGCCTTTTACTCAGAGAAAGTAGAGAAGCCGCGGTCAGGTGGCCCAGGGCAAGCGGAAGCCTGCATTTCACTGCTCACTCTTACTGCCTAGATTTTTGGTCATGTATATGTTCTAACAATTTTAAATACCTTATAACTATTTTATATTTGTAATTAAAACAATCTTATAATTTATAATTATATATGCTATATACATAATTATATGTGGGTATATAAATCATATTAATTTTGGTAGTATCCCTGATTTAGAAAGGTGTGATGACAAATTCCTGACTGCTAGTTTTCTCAAATACTAATTTGAAAAAAATTTATTTTTTATTTTATGTATATGAGTGTTATGCCTGCATGTAACTACACCACATGTGTCCGTGCCCAGAACCCAGAAGACAGTGTTGGAAGAGGGTGTTGGATCCCCTGGAACTAGAGCTACAGATGGTGGGAGCCACCACTGTGAATGCTGGGAACCAACTCTGGGTTCTCTGAAGGAGCAGCAAGTGCTCTTAATCACCGAGCCATGTCTAACTAACATTTAAATTTTTGTTGCTTATTTTTTTGAGACAGTTTCTCTGTGAAACAGTCCTGCCCGTCCTGGAACTCACTCTGTAGACCAGGCTGGCCTCTAACTCAGAGACCTTCCTGCCTCTGCCTCCCGAGTGCTGGGATTAAAGGTGTGCACTACCACAACCAGGCTTTAAAACATTTTTTAAAACCTTGTGTGTGTGTGTGTGTGTGTGTGTGTGTGTGTGTGTGTGTGTGAGAGAGAGAGAGAGACAGAGACAGAGACAGAGACAGAGACAGAGAGACAGACAGAGAGGATATACATGGGCTGATGAGAATGCTTGACAGGTAAAGGCACCTGCCACTAAGTCTAAGGACCACATAACAGAAGAGAACAGAGTCTCACAAGCTGCCCTTTGACCTTTGCCCTGAAGCCATGGTGCTTGTACACACACAAACACACACACACACAAATGAAACATAATAAAAAAAATTTATTTTTTATTTTTGTGTATATGTGTGTCTGTATCTGTGTGTGCTCGGGTGCCTGCAGGAGCTAGAAAAGGTTGTCAGAGTCCCTTGAGCTGGATTTACAGGCAATTATGAGGTGCCTGACATGGTGCTGGGAACTGAATTCAGATCTTCTGGAAGAATAGCAAGTGCACTTAACTGCTGAGCTGTCTTTCCACCCTCCCACCGCCCCACCCCACCCCCAAATTTTAAAGAATATATACAACCATTTCTTGAATTTGATAATCCTTAGACAGGAAGGATTAAACCACAGCTTTGTTTTCTAAGAATCACCCAAAATAATTATACAGATGTGCAACTGCATTTTAAAAACATAATGTAAAAAATATTTTAAAAAATACATGTATTCTTTAAATATATTAAATATAACAAATATTATATATTAAAATATAAAAATATTTTAAAGAATATATGCACACTTTTAATCCCAGCACTCAGGAGGCAGAGGCAGCAGATCGCTGTGAGCTCAAGGTTAGCCTGGTCTACAAAGTGAATTCCAGGACAGCCAGGGTTATACAGTGAGTCCCCGTCCCAAAACAACAGTAACACACACACTCACACGCGCGCGCGCGCGCGCGCACACACACACACACACACACGCACACACACACGCACGCACGCACGCACACACGTAATCATGATTGTTGTTTTAAGAGTGGGTTCCCGCAGAGTTAGTATCCCAGGAACTGTCACCCATTTTGTTTTAGACACTAAGGGAGGTTGAAGAGGTTGCCGAGCCACCCTCCAGGCAGTTGGCGCTGCAGAGGTCCTGGACAACTCACCGGCTGTTCCTGCATGGATGGTGATCTAAATCACAGCCAGTCCAGTTTGAAGGGACTAACCTAACAGAGCAGGACTACATTCATCCCAGTGGGGTTGGATTTCCCCATTAAAGCAGCTTCTCTTTTCTGAATTTCACCTTCTCTCTGACTGACTGCTCTTGGATTTCTGAAAACTCAGAATAAACCTTAGCTTAAAGGGAGAGATGTGAACAGGCTACTGTGGCATCTCAGGTCTGGTCGTGGAAGGTTTCTGGCTTCCTTCTGTCAGCAGAGAGCCAGAAGCAATTTGTTAGCATAGTTCCTCCTGAGAAAAAGTTTCTGTTAGGGAAAAGGAAAAGGGAATTAGAAAATTATCATTCTTTCCGTCTTCCACCAGGGGGCACCATTTCACCACATTTCCTCTAGGTCTGTATGTGTTCCTATTCTGTGACAGTCATTATAGATGAATTAAAATGTAGGCAAATGCTCAGAGGCAAAAAGAAGAAACTTTGAAATTATTCTTTTCCTCAAGCTACTAATTCAGATTTTATAGATTCCAGCCACTGGCATGTTACAATATATGGTCTTCCCAGACATTTTCCTACCACGTCTACATTCATAAAAGTAACTTTATTTGCTTAGTGAATTGTAATGTAAACTATAGAGAGGTATGTAATTTGTTTGTTTGTTTGAGACAGGGTTTCTCTTGCCACCCTGGCTGTCCTGGAACTCACTCTGTAGACCAGGCTGGCCTCAAATTCACAGATTCACCTATCTCTGCTTTGAATGCTGAGATTAAAGGTGTGTACCACCATGCCAGACTGTATTTTTCTTTTTTTTTTTTTCCTTTGAGAAAGGGTTTCACTAAGTAGACTGGCCTCAAACTCATGATCCTCCTGCCTCAAACTCCTGAGTGCTGGGATTACAAGTGTGTACCATTATGCTCGGCTTTAGCAAACAAATATTGAGTAGCTTGGTTAGTTTTCCCAATTGAAGGGCGCCATTACTCAAGTAGGACCTTGAGGACTAACACGCTGTCCTTAGAGGGCCTCTTGGCTTTCTACAGTCCTGGCTTCTAAGGTGAGCAGTAATTTTACCTGTTCTGGAAGCACGTCGGTAGGGTTGTGCAGTCCCTATGCTGGTTTCCAGCTCTCCCCAACAGTGCTGTGTGAGGAAGAACTAGACATTTTCATACAACTATATTCAGTCATCCCCTTTCTTTGCTGGAGTTTATTTTTTTCTTTTTTTGAAACAGGGTCTTACTTTGTAGTGCTGGCCAGCCTTGACCCACCTGGCTTGCCTCCTGATGCTGGAACTGAAAGAGTGTACCACCACATGAAGCCCACCACCTTATGTACTGTGTGTTAGCAAACTTCCCATGGAGATCCAGACAGTCTTGTAAGCTTTATAGGCCTTGCAGTGCCTGTCACAACTTCCCAACTCTGCCGCTGTGGTCCACAAGCAACTGTAGACTCTGCGGCTGTGGTCCACAAGCAACCGTGGACACGGAAATTGACCACTGTGGCCGTGTTCCAGGAAAACTTGAAGAGAATGGGTGCATCTATCAGCTACTGCTTAGTTCTCAAAAGCTCTGGGCTGGGGAGATGGCTCAGCACTCACTGCTGAGGGAAAGCGTGGGGACTGAGTTTGGATCCCGAGCACCTGCATAGAGACTGGGCGTGGTGGCTTGCCTACAGTCTCAGCACCCCGAAGGTGGAGACAGGGGGTCTCCAGGGCAAGCTGGCAGGGAAGACTAGGTGAACTGGTGAGCTCTGGCTCCAGTGAGAGACCCTGCCTTAATACATAAGGTGGAGAGGACTGAGGAAACTGCTGATGTTAGCCTCGGCCTGTGCACATACGTGAGCTCACGGGATATGCAAACATACATCCACACATGCACACATGTATACCATGTGCACATACACGCAAAACCAAAAACAATTTCTCAAATAAGATGATTTCTAAGAGAATTAAACGTAGTATCAGGATTAAACTTCTTGAGGTACCATCATTTCCCCGTGAAAGAGAATTCCAGAAAGTGAGCTAACCACCAACGCTTTTTTTCTTCATTGTAGTCTCTGGCCAACATAGATGATGTCGTGAACAAAATTAGACTGAAAATAAGGTAAGTAACACCATATGACTGTTAATTAGTGAAAGCCTATTAATTTAGTCATCTCTGAATCACACTTTTTGATGAAAGCACCAAAATCTCAAATTTAAAAATAATTCTTTCTCATGGGTTTTTATGTAAACTTTATGGCAGGGAGCTTTGGCCAGTGTTTAACTGCCCGTACAAAATGAAGGGAACTGGAACAGACTGTTGAAAAAAATGGTTACCACACAGACTGTGGTGGTGCACACCTTTTTTTTTGGTCTGTACTTTCTTTTATTATCATAATAGTCTTTGCATCAAGATACATAGCAATGATAGCAGGTTTCTTTTTAAAGCTTAGTATTAAATATTAAATATCTTCCCCATTTTAATTTTAATTACTCTGCCAAGAAAAAAAAGGTTTTAAACTCAAGTTACTTGAAGCCTGGACATACTTCCATGATTAGCCGGGCTACATGAAGGCGGTGACTTCGTCTGTCCTGCCATATAAGCAGATCTAAGCCCTAGAAAGACGGGACCAGGTTATAATTGCTTTTGAAAAGTGAACTACAAAAATGGGTGGCCTGTTATCAGCCAGGTTACAAAGTAAGGATGGGGGTAAAGGAGGGATATTTTCTTCAAGAAAAAACAAAACATAATTTCTGAAGAATCCCAGTTCATAATTTTTTCCCCCAAAATGGCTGGAGCTCAAGAGGCTCTCTGAGTTCCGAGGCAGCCTGTTTATAGAGTTCCCAGCTAGCTAGAGCTGTACAGTGAGACCCTGTCCTAAAACAACACAAAACAGGTCTGTTCATCAGGGCTGGGGATGTAATTCAGTAGAGTGCTGACGCAGCAGACATGAAGCCCTGAATTCAATCCTAAGCGTGGCACAAACCCATAAACCAGGTGTGGGTGCACACACCTGTAGTCTTAGCATGTGGGAGCTAGAGGCGAGGCAGCCAGAAGTTCAAGGTCATCCTTGGCTACATGGTGAGTTTGAGACCAGCCTGGGATACATGAGACCCTATCAAAAAAAAAAAAAAAAAAAAAAAAAAAAGGAGGAAGAAGAAGAGGAGGAGCAGGAGGACAAGGAGGAGAAAAAGTTAACTTTCAAAGGAGGCAGAAGCTCTTCTACAGTATTGTAACGGTTTTATTCCTTCAGTAGGCTTATCTTTTGTAGTGCTAATACTCAGCTATGAAGATGGGGTTATACCTCTTGGTTACCTATAACAATGATATTGGACCAGCCGGTTGACTTGGAAGTGTTCCAGAATTAAAGACTTTAGTTAACCAAGACCTGATTGTCCATATCATCAGGTACTTCCTGCCCAGTGACCTTGTTCTGGCTTATCCAGGTCTAGGTTTATAAATTTGGTACCTAATAGTCACTAAATAAGTGTATTTTCATTATATAAGTAGTTTGATTTCATTGCTTCAAATGTATTTTGGAGATTTTGTGTGCATTTGTATGTTTGTTTGTTTGTTTGTTTTTGTTTGTTTGTTTTTTTCTGAGACAGGGTCTTTCTATGTAGCCCCTGGTTGTCCTGGAATTAGCTATGTGGACCAGGCTGACCTCGAACTCAGAGATCTGCCTGCTTCTGCCTCCTGAGTGCTGGGATTAAAAGTGTGCGCCACCACGTCTAGTTTGTTTTTGATGAGAAAACTTATTTTGGAAATGGAAAGCATTCATTTTGAGTCTAGAAGATGAATTTTTTCCCTAACATTCTTTAGTCTTTCAGTAAAGGGCACTGCCCTATAATGTATTGTTCCACTGGTACCTTAGTAAGCGCAAAGGTGAACTAGAGAGAAGGCTCAGGGGTTAAGGTCACTTGGTGCTCTTGCCAAGGACCCAAGTTCAGTTCCCAGTACCCATGTTGCCGAGGACCCAAGTTCAGTTCCCAGTACCCATGTTGCTGAGGACCCAAGTTCAGTTCCCAGTACCAGTTACCAGTATCACAACCATCTGTAATTCTAGTCCCAGGAGATCTGACACCCTCTTCTGACCTCTTCTACAGGCACTAGGCATGCATTTGGTACACATACATACATGCCGGCAAAACATTCACACACATAAAATAATAAAATAAGTAAATCTTAAAAAAAAAAGCCTCCTTGTTTTGTTGGCTTCCGTTATAATGGCTCTAGAGGAGACCTCGAAGTTGCCAGAGTTTATAAAGTAGAAACATCCTGGCGATCCAGAGAGCCCTGTCAGCTAGGTATTTCCTGCATTCCTGCTACCATACCTTAAATAGATTCTTCAAGTGCAAAATGAAACTGGCTGATAGGAATTCCTCTGGCGGAGGCGCCATGCAGTGGCCCTTGCTAAGCCCCTGGGAAGAGACATCCCGGAAGCCATAGATCTGCCTCTGACAGGCTGCACCATGGGGCACAAAGAGTAAGGACTGAGTGCAGAGACCACACTGGCTCCTTGACTCTGCTCACCTAAGTTAGGATTTTGCAAGTGCTGATTTGAATTTGCTGGCTTATTTCTATAAAACATCTGTAACTTTGTCATTGCTGATTTACTCTGTGAAAAACGTTCACAGTTTTATTGGTCCTTTCAGCCAGCTTCTGAATATATTAACTCTTCCAGTGTTTAAACAAAGGTAATGCTAAGTCTGCACTGGTGGCGGCTTCTTGCATTGGCGTTGCTGCCTGCTCCGAGGCCCCATTCTTCATCGCTTGGGCTTGTGTGGTTTGCGGCATTAAATAGGTGCAGTCCGCAGAGGTTGATGAGTGAGCTACTGACTTTCTCTTTCTTTTTTTTTTTTTAAATTTATTTATTTATTATGTACACAGTGTTCTGCCTGCATGTATCCCTGCAGGTCAGAAGAAGGCGCCAGATCTCATTACAGATGGTTGTGAGCCTCCATGTGGTTGCTGAGAGTTGAACTCAGGACCTTTGGAAGAGCAAGCAGTGCTCTTAACCTCTGAGCCATCTCTCCAGCCCGACTTTCTCTTTCTTTTGGTCTACCCAGAGTTGAGTTGATTGGAATGACTCGTATCCTATCTTTTTTTTTTTTGCCAGGAGACTGGATGACAATATCCGGACTGTCGTAAGAGGTCAGACAAATGTGGGGCAGGATGGAAGGCAAGTAAGTGACGAATCCCTCCACATTAGTTACAGTCCCTAATTTCATAAAGACCCAAACCCCGAATGACCAGAATGTCGATCAGTTTGTTTGCACCTTATTAGTCTGTTCCATATGCAGCAGAAAGCATGAGTGATACTCTCCACCATGACAGGGGGAGCATCTCCAGGTCAGCCCTGAGTTCTCACACGGTGTCCTCCAGACCCGGATCATGTATTAATACACAGCTGACCCAGGGCCAGCAACTTGCAGGCTGTGATGGACAAACTGAAGGGTCCTAGTTTTTCACCACCTCAGACAGGTCTTATGTACCATGCCTAACTCAAGTCCCTGCCTCTGTCTGTCAGTTGATTGTCGGGGGACTCAGTATTAGTTTGATTGCTATAGATGTTGACGTGAGGCAACCATGGTTCCTCACACCTGTCTCGCCAGCGCGCAGAACTGGGTTCATTTCAGCTTCGTGGAGTTCCTTCCTCCTCACTAGGGAGGGCTATTGCAAGGGGATGGAGGGGGAGGAAGCCTGTGGGGAGGAGGTATTCTTCGGTGACCGAAGGGCAGATGTCATCTGTTAACCAGCTTCTCTTCTACTTGGATTGTGTTTGGCAGTGTATCTCAGAGATTGCTGTCCTAACAGAAACGCTGCGCGCGCTTTTCCCGCCTTCCTCTCCACAGTGTCTGGCTGGCCCTCCCTTTCGTTTAGCTCACTTAGGTCTGCCGCGCTGTTGGGATGGCTTCCCTCTTCTCCTTTGTCCTCTTCAGCTTTTGCAGTGCTGGGGCTCAAACCCGGGGCCTTGTGCACACTAGACTGGTGTTCCACCGCCAAGCCACTGGTAGTGATAGCTGCGTAGCCTAGGCTGGCCTCAAACTCCCGGTCCTCCCACTTCAGCCTGCTGAGAGCTGGGGTGGGAGCGGCAGTTTATAGTACAGCGGGCTTCTGAAAACAGCTCTCATGATGTGCAGGGTTAGAGTGTAAGAAAGGGTCTAATTCTAGGTAGAACTTTAGCTGCAACATCCTGTTCTGCTGCTGTGGCTCAAAGATGTCTTGACTCTTACATTTTTCAGTTGGTTTTTTCTTGCTGCTGTTGTTGTTGTTTATTTATTTGAAGTGGGTTTTTTGTTTGTTTTTTTTGTTTTTGTTTTTGTTTTTTCAGGACAGGGTTTCTCTGTATAGTTTGGTGTCTTTCCTGGAACTCACTCTGTAGACCAGGCTGGCCTCGAACTCACAGAGATCCGCCTGCCTTCGCCTCCCAAGTGCTGGGATTAAAGGCGTGCACTGCCGCCACCACCTCCTAGCTTGAAGTTTTTTATATTTTTTTTTTTTTTTTTTGGTTTTTCGAGACAGGGTTTCTCTGTGTAGCTTTGCGCCTTTCCAGGAACTCACTTGGTAGAGTTTTTTATATTTTTATTTTATGTGTATGAATGTTTTGCCTGCATGTGTGTGCATTGCATATGTCCCTGGTGCACATGTGGACGTCAGAAGAGTGTGTCAGAGCCCTTGGAACTGGAGCTCCAGATAGTCATATGGGTACTGGGAACTAAACTCAGTGAAAGGAAAAGTATCAATTCAGGACACCCCACCCCACCCCCTACTCCCACTCCCAACCCATGAGCAAGTTCTCAGCACAAAGATTCATTTGCCCCAGAGGGCAGGGAATAAGAGACAAAGACAGGAGCCAGAGGAACAAGGGAGATGGACGGGCAGGGGCTTTGTCCCAGGAGACAAAGGACTGTCTGGATAGAGAGGGGACAGACGTGGCCCATAGACAAATGGCGGCTTATAAAGGTAAAATGAGAAACCCATGTTAGGATGAGATGTTTGATTTTGATTGGGCACATTAATTAGATGACTCAAAGGGGGCTTTTGATTGCTGGACTTCAATACTTTGATAGCTGGATCTTGGTAGTCAGCCTTAGGAACAGGAAGTGGCCAAAGAAGGGAATAGTCCTTGGTAGCTAGCTTTAGGAATATAATCAGTTTTAGCAAGGCAGAGGGAATGGGAAAGAAGGGCAAGGCCTGCCAGGCCATGTTTGCCAGGCCCAGGCTGGCTAGAGTCCCTTCACTTGGGTCCTCTACAAGAGCAATAAGTGCTCCTAACTGCTGAGCCATCTCTCCGGCCCCCTTATTTGCGGTGTGTGTGTGTGTGTGTGTGTGTGTGTGTGTGTGTGTGTGTGTGTGTGTGTGTGTGTGTGTGATGGCCAGAAATCGAAATCAGATGTCTTCCTCAATTGCTTCTACCCTGTATTTTCGACAGAGCAGCTCGCTGAACCTCGAGCTCACTGATGTGACTAAACCGGCCAGCAAGCCCGCAGGCTCCTCCTGTTTCTGCCTCCCCATTGCTGGGACGGCAGGTGTGCGCTGCTGCACCTGGCTTTTCCATCGGTGCTGGGGATTGAACTCAGGTCCTCATGCTTGAGAACCAAGGATCTTGCCTGTCGAGCCGTTGCCCCAGCCCCGTTTTAGTTTTATGCATCTCTATTTCCTACGGTTCATGGCTGCCACTCCTCCCTCTTGACATACCCCTTCTGTTGTCCGTCAGGACGTAGCCTGTCTTCGCCCTTCCCTCAGCACTGGTGCTTGTTGTGTGCTAGTTCCCGAAGACACCCTGTTTCCCAGACTCCCCCATGATGCCAGTGTTTACTACTTCGTTTTCGTCAGGTCCCTTGTAAACAGGACCCTGGAAGTAATAACGAGGAGGAAGGTCCCCTCACTGTGAGGATTAACCTCCGTGTTTCATGTCGAGTCATGGCATCTGCCTCTTCAGAACCCTCTACCTCTGACATGAGTGAAGTCTGTCACACTCCCTTACTGCTGCTTGAGGCTGCCGTCCATGTCTCCAGCTCTGTCTCCTCCTTTGTTCTAAGCACCTGAGAACTTCCTGTTCTGCCGCACGCCCCGCGCTTTCTGACCCATCATAAGTCATTCTTTGTACCTGTGCTAGTTATTACCACCGTGGCACAATGACCAGCAAGAAGCAATGTAAGGGAGGAAGGGGTTATTCTGACTTACAGCTGCAGGGGATCTATCCATCCTGACCCGGAAGGCCCGGCAGCAGGGGCATTAGTCACGTTGCATCCACAGTCAGGCAGAGAGCGGTAAATGTTGTTATTCAGTTCCGTCTCTTCTTTTTATTCAGTCTAGGACTCCAGCCCATAGAATTTAGGGTGGGACTTCCTAATTTATTAACCTGGTCTAGATAATCCTTCTCAGATCTGCCTCTCTCATCCATGATTCCAGATCCATCCAGTTACTAATCAGTCTTTACTACTAAGGCCTGAAGTGGGGTTTTTGTTTTGATTTTTTTGTTTTTGTTTTTTTTCTTGCTTCCCTTTTTTCCAGATTTTATATTTCAGAACTTCACCCATTTAAGGGCCAGCTCAAGTACTGCTTTTTCTTCATGTTATTAATTTATCCCATCGAATAACACCAAAGTACTCAGACTTTGAGACCCAAGGAGTCTCGACCTTCATCTGACCCTCTCTTCATCTAGAGAGACAGATGTGTGTCGTTCCCACGTCTCAGCCCTAGCCCTGTGCTGTGCCTGGCCTCCCTTGGTTACTAATGAGTAGATCAGGGCCCGTTGGCTAGTTTGTGGTCCCCTTGAAAGCAAGAACTATGGTTTTCGTCTTTACACTTCAGTCTCCATCATCCTGGGCAACCACAGTGAGTGTTTGCTGTGTCTCAGATTAGTCATTGCCAATAGACAAACGCCCCTGCCCGACTGTCAGAACTTCATCTTAGTTAGCCTTGAGGGGCTTTAAAGTTTGATTTGGGTGGGCGAGTGGGGTGTTCAGTGCTAAGGAACTTGGGGTTCCTGAATGCTAGGCAACTGTGCATAGTTCTACCACCGAATTGCATCTCCAGTCCATGGTTCATGTGTGAATAGGTCCAGGTTACTGCTAGTTGGAATAGCACTACTATATATTGTGACTTAGTCTACATTTAGAATGGCTTACCAGAAGTCTTAAAATACTTGGGCGAGTCTCAGATATTTAAGATTGATCCTAAGAATGTGAAAAGAAAGCTGATGATTCATCACGATTTTTTGTTGGGTCATGCTATGTCTGTACACATCCTGGCTGCTTCCGTTTTAACTTGTGGACCATGAAAGGGCAGCATAGGGGGCAAGCCCCGGAAGGGGTAGGCCTCAGGAATGCCTCTCCCCACCTTCACTTGGAAATGGGTCACAGGTTGCCAGCAGGGCAGCTCGTATTTCAGAGAGCAAGACCATGTTTTCAAGAATGTTTAGATCGAATTTCAGCCTGTGATGGAATTTGTGTTGTCTCCTTAGACTCCAGACAGAGAGGAAGCCCAGAAGAAATAATGGCTTTTCCTGTCATCCCCTCCATCTGTCTCTTTCAGCAGACTGAAATGCCAGCTCAAGTGGAGACTTTGTTCAGCAGAGTGCTCTCGGTTCTGTCCTTGTCGGCTCCTAGGGGTGACAGCATGGATCTGGCGGGTGCTTTGCTGAAGGGAGTCCCCAGCTGACAGGCACAGACTAGGGAATTATAGATGTGCCAGAATACTGGGTTTTATAAGTCAGGAGGCCCCAGGCTCCCCTCTTCTGTGGAACATGAGCAGTCTGCTTTCAGAACTTGTTTCCACAGAGGCTGAGATCACTCAGGAGAGCAGGAGTAGGAGCAAAGGAAGCTTCCCTCCCTGGATGGACTCTCCACCCCTGAGAAGCTTGTCAACCTGTGTAGAGCGAGCGGTCGGCCTCATTGCACACCGTAGAGTCTTCTTGGAGCTTGCTTGCTTTTTTGTTATTTTGGGGTTTGGTTTGGTTTTTTGAGACAGGGTCTCATGCAGTACGTTCTGGCCTTAAAACCCTCCTACCTCCACCTTCCGAGTGCTAGGACTACAGGTGAATGCCTCCAGACCTGACTTTCCTGATGTCTTGGAAGACATTTTAAGTGATTTCTTGTTACGAAGGAGGGTAATAAGCATGCATGCCAGTGCACATGTCAAGGCCAGAGAACAAGTTTGCAGACTCAGTTTTCTCCCC